GTGCTTTAAAAGTAACATTGTTTAACTAACAATTTCTTCAAATACAATTTTAGGTGAGCTTGGGATTCCGGGAGCGTCGTTGGACAAGGATAGTGGACTGGAGCATCGAAGCCCTCCAGTTGGGTCCTACGGTCCTACGGGTTGATTTAACGTTGTCAAGTATTAACCAAATGTTTCTAATTTACACGCTAATATTGTATGTACGTAAGCAACAACAATAACTGTTTCTACTGATGAACTTTAGGCAAGCCGATGAGGATCGCACGAACCGTCGCCGGTATTCCAGTTGGTAAGGAGTTTGAATCTTTTGGAGCAAGCCATAATTTTATTTTAATGGGTTCAAATTCACAAAGTGAACTTTATCAAAAACATGCTCAATTTTATTTTAGATACCAACGAAGGCAGAAAGCGCTTCTCGGACAATGGCAATGAAGGTATAGCACTTGAATTTCTTGGGTTTGCACGCTGAAAAAAGAAAAATGACGTTGTATTGTGTTTTAAATCCAAATTTTCGCCTTATAAATGCAAATTCCGTACTATCTTTCCCTCTAAATGACAAGTATGTTTCAAAATTTGCATGGTTGTTTTAGGAAAATGAATAACAAGTTAACATCAACTTATTGGTGAAAAATTCTGACACCGATATTCATTAACCTCATTGAAATACCTTATTAAAGTTATTAAAGTAATTTGTTTATGAACTAGACTAAGTTTTGGTCAAAAAAGAGCAATACAGCAAAATTCAAGGGCTTCACCTCAAGCCGAAGAGAAAGCCAAGCGAGATGAGCGTCTTCTCGGCATCGTCTCGCCGAAAAAACCCAGTAAGAAAATGATCGAAAGGCTTTAAAAAATGAATTTAGAGTTGAAACAGCCGATCAAATCGTTGAACATCTAGCTTTTATCAACTTTTATAGCCATTATTTTTATTTAATTTCGGATAAAGGTTTTCAAAAAGCACTCATACCTCAAAAAAAATCGTTATCATTAAAGATCTTCATTAAATTGACAAATTGGCTAATTTAGTGAAGATCTTGAGTGAAAAAATTATGCATACGTGTATTATATTATATAACTTTTGTCTTATATTTATTTAAGTATCGATTCAAGCTTTTTTTCGATGAAGAAAGGCATCTCAAAAGTTTGGAAAGCCCATTAACCGTGATCCCTTCTAGGATCACCAACATGGGCTAGCTTTTCATTGCACAAAACAAAACCATATAATACTAAAGAAAACTGAATAAGAAACAAGCATTAAGTGACGTAGATAAGTGTCCTATGCTTCATAGTTCCCTTATTTGTTTTCTTCATTTCAACATTCGAGCAATAAGTCGTCTATGTAGAGATCGGAAGCTGAGTTTTTTTGCTACACCTTAACGATTCTGAATCCCTTAAGCGTTAAATTTCTTTTCTAGCGTAGTGCTTCCAAAAAACTTCCCGAAGCCTGCATTCAAATAGATTTTTTGTTGAAGAAAAGTCGCCCTCAACCCTTGACAAAAGCATTGATTTCTTTGCGAGCGGCATGAGAAATTGTTTCCCATTTTTTTATTTTTGTATTGTGAAATATGATAACAAACTTTTTGTTATCAGTACAATTATGCCTTTTCTTGTTTCAATTATCTTTCATTGCTCGTTCTTTTGCAGAGTCGATAAGAATTCTTCTTTGTATACGTTTTTCCTTGAGGTTGGACTGTTTTACTTTTAAAAAAATAAGTAAAAAAATATATTTGCATGAACTTGTCAAATGCTATGTAAAGTTTTGATTAGTTATTGGTTAAAAGTGAATTCAGAGGTTTGACTCCGTTTGCTTGGTTTCCTCAAAGATGTCATGTCAACGGTGCAACGAGCTTTATGCGAGAGTTCGACGAGCGCAAACCGTGCCCGATTCTGGTTCCCATCCTAGTACACTCGAACTTGCGTACATGGTTAATCTTGAATACTCGATCGAGATGAGTCATGATTGCCTGCACAAGATCCCTGAGAGTCGAAAAGCAACGATCAAAGTGAAGGACATGGTCGAGTATCTGGACGAGAGAAACTGGGAGCTGTGCACTAGAACGAAAAACAAAGGTAATATCATTTGTTTTTTTGTAGAAAAGTATTGAAAAGGTAGAAAAATGATTAAATCAAGATCATGATCAAGTATGATCAAACTTTAGGCTTCACGTGCTCATCTTTCATCAACCATCCCGCAAAGAGGCTGGTGATCGTGCATCGGGGAACTCAACTGAGCAATCTTTTGCAACTAAAAGCAAACGTTCGAATCGCCTTGAACTTGATCTCGTCAAGCATTGTGGCGGCTGCCGATTGGCACACGTCACAATCAATACTAAATAACACGCTCAAGTTGGACGAGGGGACGCGACGCTTCGTACGCAACGACTACTCGGTGACAATCACTGGACACAGTCTTGGCGGATGGCTGGCTCAATTGTGCACGTTGTTAAGGAAACACCCAGCTTTCTTTCCCGTTGGCCGGCGTGGTAAGTTCTCCTTTGGCAATGACACTATGCTTGATATGAATCAAGCAAACGACTTACATTGTGTGGCGTTTGATAGTCCGGGTGCGAATGCGGTTTTGACAAGACTCAAGGAGGATCCGGGTTGGCTAAATGGAGGGCCACGAGATGTCGAGATCGTCTTGCAGACACTCGACATTACGGTTTATCTGGCAAATCGTAACCTCGTAAACTGGTGCGGCACTCACGTGGGCACCGTGAAAACGATCGATGTTATGTCGAGCGCCTCGTTTTTCACCCGATGGTTTAATCCGATCGCCTCGCACGGAATGAAGGGAATTTTAGCCTATTTTCAAAATAATTCCAACGCATAGATGCGACACTTTGTTCGATTTAAAGTTTTTATTTCCTAAAATAAACTAAATCTTTGTAATATTTACTTCAAATTTTCATTTTTTTGTTTTCTTCGCATCAAATAAACACTTTCCAACAAAATTCAATAAAAGTTCACCCTAAAATAACTTTAGAAACGCTTAAAAACGAGTATTTCAAGTTTTTTTAACACTTTATCTGAAATTTTGGTCTGAAAAAATTCCCATAAATTATTTTTTTTGTGATCAACGAGCAGCTCCCACTAATCAAATTTTCTCCATTTATTTTTTAAACTGATATCAAAAAATAAAATTTTCCACCGAACAAACCATAGCTGAGATTTTTTCACGTACCCCTCTCAACTTTTCTAGAGAAATCCAAATCTGCAATCAGAATCGAAATCGGTGCATTGATTCTGGAGGGGGTTTTAGGCTGGGTGTCCGGGGTGTACGTAAGTAGTACTAAAACGTAACGTTTGGAGTTTTTCAACACTTCATCTGAAAACCATGTTTTATTCCAAGGAATTATTTTTTGTGTTCAACGGGCAGCTCACACTAATCAAGTTTTCTCCATTTATTTTTTAACCAGCATTTCCTGCTTGATGACTTGGGGTCGGGGATGTTCGTTGACCCGTAAGTAATCAATGGCAACAATCACAAAGCGAAAAAGACAGATAAACGATGAGATTCAATGCCTCACGGTGGCTTTCCTGCTGGTTAAAAGCAATGTAGAGTTGTCCATGATGTCCATCTACGCTCAAAATTCCACCGGATGGCACAACTAAATCACCTGTATAGTCTATCTTGAAAGTTTCATAAAAATGCGTTCAGCCGTTTCTTTTAAAACACTGTAACAGACGGACAGACAGACGGACAGACAGACGGACGGACAGACGGACAGACAGACAGACGGACGGACAGACAGACAGACGGACGGACAGACAGACGGACGGACAGACGGACGGACGGACGGACGGACAGACAGACGGACGGACGGACAGGCAGACGGACAGACAGACGGACAGACATACGGACAGAAAGACGGACGGACGGACAGACAGACGGACGAACAGACGGACGGACAGACAGACGGACAGACAGACGGACAGACAGACGGACGGACAGACAGACAGACGAACATCCTTATATACAGTAGAGATGCCAGAGATACCAAATGTTTCTTTGTTTAAATAAAAAAAAGTGAAGGGAGAACCCTTCAAGGTCCTAAGTCTGTAGCAAGTTCACATTTATCTACAAACTTTTCTATTTGTTCGAGATTCAAGTTTATGTCTGAACAGCTTTGCCTGAAGATTTTTGATAAAACGACTGTGAAAATAAACAACAAAAAATGCACTTTTTTTGTTCTTTATCTTCTGTTTCTTACTGTTCATTGGTTCCTCAACTTTTTGCAAACATCGAGCTTTTCCCCTTCAAAATTTAGACTCCAAGATGTCGAGTCGAGTCTACTCTGTGCTCAAACAATCAGATTTCATCTCAAAAAACTTTTGGTCAAATTGTCAGTGTCAGATTAAATGTAAATAAAGTGTGCATCTTTTAAATGTAAATAAAATGAACAGCATAACACAAACAAAAGTGCATTTTTTAAGATGTCTACTCCTTATCTAAATGTTCCCTATATAAATAAAGCAAAATAAACTCAGAATTCCCACATTTTTATCAAGGGTGTTTACTGTTATGACACGGAAATTATTTGTTTTCTTCTTCTTCTTCTTCTTTATTTTCTCTTTTACATTTGCTGAAAATGGGAACTCGAGTGAGAGCTTATCCTCAAAACTAGCTGAAGCCAAACAGGCCACAACAATGTCTGAAGCCAAACAGGCCACAACAATGTCTCCCGAAGAAATCATCGAGGCACTTAAACTGGGAAAAATTGATTTTGGTGGGAAAATCCTTGACGTTGACTTAAACTCGCAGAAATCTCGTGATGAAATCAAAGAAATCTTTGAAAAAATTGCTAAAACAACAGCAAAGATTGCATCAGAGACAAAAGCCTTTGAGTTACTTTCAGAAACTTTCTCTATTGCCGGCTTTTTTACGCAAATCACAGGAATGAGTGGAGTGGGAGGTGTTATCGGAAAAGTTCTTGGTTTCCTTTTTCCCGAGGATAAGCGCTTTAAAGATCCTTAAAGCAATAAGTGCTTTAAAAGACTTTATGATTCAAGAATTTGACAAGATCACCAAATTGCTTCGAGAACAGTTTCTCGAAACGCTTCTTCAGATGAAATACCTTGACTATCGGGAGAATGTGGCTGATGTGATCACTTATGGGACAAACAAAATGGGAAGATTTCTTGATAAGAAACTTGCACAAAATCTGGAAGAGTTCAAAGAATGGTGTAGCCTGAATGCACCGATTGATGTGGCCACAAAGTTGTTGACACGAATTTCTGGAGGCACCTCAATCCTCCAAGCGTTTCTGGCGGCTCAAAATTACAACCACAAATCCTATCGTGCTTTTGAAAACGGCATCATCGGGCATATGCGTTTGTTGGAGTTGCTGATGGCTAATTGTGAGGCGGTACAGCCGATCTCTTCAAATAACTCGATCTTTCACGATTTTGCAGAGATCGAGAACCAGATTTTGACTCAATTGGCTAGTGAACGAAAACAATTGGAGTCAACTTTCTGGCCGGGAAAAGTCTCCGAACTTTCTGTTCAATGCCTTAACCAAAGCGACACCAAAGTGGCCGCCGAACAATTCGCTCAAGACCTGGCGGCAAAGCATGAACCAAAGTTTTTCGTTGCCACCAGCAACGTCGGTGATAAAGTGCCGATTATCTACTATACCGGCGATCGGGTTGTTTATGGGTGGAATCTATTCAACAAGAACTTTGTCGTTTTTAGGAGTCCTTGTGCACAAAATGAGACTCAAAGGCAAGAGGTCATCACCCCAACAGATTCAATTGTGGCTGGAAATGGGGACAATTATGAATTGATCGCAAAATTGATATGGGAACAGGTCGGCGTTCAGTCTGCTGGAAACGCGACAAAGAGCGCGATGGTTTTGGCCGTGCCTCCGTGCCGTACCGTGGCGTGCCTCGCTGATCTGATCGTTGATCCGACCCTTTTCCGAGCTGGTGATCCGTGTGCTGTTTATGTGAAAGAAAAGAACGGATTTGTATATGTGATTGGACTCGATTAAAAGATAATTATGATAATCTTTATGTATAAAAGTTGGCTAGATAGTTGAAAGTTTTTTCTTTGGATTTCTAGGGTATAGAGAGTACGAAGAATTCACATTTTCAGGCTTGACTTCATGATCTAAATTCTCTTTAATGCTCTTTTCTCTCATTCTCTAATTCTCTAGACTACAGGGTACGCATAATTGTCGCAACAAGGTATCGCAAAGTCAATTCCGATTCTGGCTCTTCTCAAGGATGAACTCTTGCCCTGGGCTCGTAAACATTTTGGAAATTGCATTTGGACTTATCATCAAGATGGCGCACCAGCCCACAAAGCTAACAAAGTCCAAGAGTTCTGCCAAACAACTTCCAGGACCTCATTTCTTTTTCTGAGTGGTCACCTAGCTCTCCAGATCTCAACCCAATGAATTTTACAGTATGGTCGGTTCTAGAATCTTATTCGAAGCCCAAAAAAAGCATCGAAAGCTTAAAGAAATCACTGTTGAAAGCGTGGGAAGAGCTCGATGGGAAGATCCAGCCTATTTGGTCGCCGTGACACCTTTCCGAAACGCTTGCGAGCCTGCTCAAATGCTTATGCTAGCCGATTCGAATTTGATAGTAAATTTATAATGGTTAATGTACAATAAATATTATTCAGTTCTAGCTCTAGTCTGCCTTAAAATCAGAACTTTATCTTGTTGCGAGAATTATGGCGCACCCTGTACCTTCGTACACCAAAAATCTCTTGCCAATCTACATCATCATTTATGCAAATAATTCCGTGGTTATTACCTATGCTTGTTTGTGTTATCAGAAAATCCCATTTTAGAAAACACTTCTTTACTATTTCTGTTTTCATTTGTTTTTTTTTAAGTTATTTCTTTGATTTCATCTATTTTCAACTATCAAGAAATGTTTGAGCAAAATAAAAATCAATAATAACAATAAAAACTCTGTTGGACAAATCACGAGAGGAACATTGTTGAGATGGCCACTGAAAATTGTTCTGAACATTATTCTGAACAATTTTCAGTGGCTCAACTTAGTCTTGAACCTTATAGTTAGAGATTTAAAAGTGTTTTATTAAACAAAAACAAAACTGTCTACTCTTAACTTTCGACAAATCTATTTATAAACAATTTATCATTTCAATCTAATAAAATCACGAGTCTAACCAAATAGGAATACGAGAGCGGTTATTCAACGAGTCCAGACTCACTTTTCTGATGAGAATATCGAGGGTACAGTTAGTGAAACGAGGCGACTTCAGCATTAGTAAGAAGAAAATGTAGACATTCGAATTGATCATTTTCTTAAATAACTCAACTTTGGTGAAGAAATCACTATAAAGGGACTCTTCTTTCTGTGATTGATTTTCATAAAAGAAGTCGACAATCTCAGCGTGGGTCACAGAGGATGTTTCGAGTTTGATTTCGGCCGAGAATAGAGAAATCACTCGTTGAATTTGAAAACGATTGAGATTCAAATTCTTTAAATAACAAAGTGATTCAGCTTTTTGACTTGGGAATCCATTCTCGAGAATCCAATTTAAAATCTCTTCGGTTTCCTCTGCCCAAGACTCCATCTCAAGGTATTTTGCCTTTGATCTAGCTAGGCTACTCATAAAATTTTCAGCGTTTCGAATCTGAAAACTAGGACAATTTTTTGTTAGGATCTGAAAAAAGTGATTCAGTTCATCTATCAAATCTCCTACTTTTATTCGAAGTGTAGTCTTTGCAAGCACATCGAATTCTTCCGGGAAAATCCTTTGCACCGGCCCCACCCCCACTTGATTCAACTCCACACAACCAGTGCCTTTTAGTTTGGGGAAAATCTCGAGAATGTTCTTGATGTTGTAAGTTTCCTTCTCAGATTCCTCTTTCTCTTCATAGACGTCCAATTCAGCACAATAAATAATGTTTTCCAAGAGGTGATGATACTTCAATAGTTCTCTCAAATTCCACCGAAAGTGCGCGAAATCACAGCGAACCCAAGCAATTTGTGAATGCCGTGTCTTTGAAGAAAGATAAATGTAAATTTTATCGATCTTTTGTCCAAGTGGACCGTTTCGTAATACCCAATGCCGCAAAGAGCGATTCACTTTCAGCAACGTCAACAATAAAGACATATCGATTTTTGGGAGCACCAGTTTCTTAAGCTCATTTGGAATGGTCAATAGGGAGGACATCAAAAATTTTAATAGTTTTACGGGTAAAAATAAAAAAAAAAAACAGTATTATGTAGTGTATTTCCTTTCCATGCGTAATTGCACTGCTACGGGCATTGTTCCTTTCTTGCTTATCTCTCGTCTCAAGCAAAAAGATCAATCGCCGCTAGTGATAACTAGTAAGTGCGAGAGGCCTCGGGTTCAATCCAGTTGCTGCGAGTGACCCCCAAGTCACGTAGTACGGTTTCAAACCTCCAAATTCTCAATCGAAGTCTTCAAAATCAATATCTTACCCAAACTGCTAAATCTTTTAACCCAGAAACACTAATTCTAAATGATTTGCCGAGAGGAATCACAAGAAAAAACGAGAGGAATAACAAGAGGATTCGCGGCTGAGTTGGATTTGCTTTGCCCCACTTTGTGCCCCAAAGTGAGGGACAAAGTGGGGCACAAAGCTGGACACAAAGTGTATTATTATTATTATTATTATTATTATTATTATTAAAGGCGAGCCTACAAGCGCAAAAGACATGGCGAAGCGCCGGACCGAGTAACGATTCTTTAAAAGAATCAATTTTAAACGCATGCGACTTCCTTTTATAGGCGGGAAAAGGAGACGCCGTCTTGAGTACGGTAGCTTAGGTGTATTTTAGAATTTACAGTTGGCAAGTTGCCAGGCCGTACTCGAACTGCAGGGATTGGGGTTTTTACTATTGTTGTTTTTTTCGCTAATGTTTTTCTTGGGTGAAGTTTTCTTGAGAAAAACATGGTTCTTTTATTATTCAATGAAAACAATTCAATAAAAATATAGTGCAAGTGTTGAGCTATGTTTATGCTTTAGGTATGAGTTTGATTGCGATTCGTTTAGATGGAGGGAAACTAATGTAATGTGGCGAAACACGAGGTTTAAATAGATTTCGATAATTAAAACAGATTACGGTAATCTTTAACTTGTTTATTACATGGAGCTTCGAAATTGCATTTTTTAATCTTTGAGTTCTTTGTGTACCTTTCAAATATTTTCATCTTTCTTTACTTACATCTACACTTTGTGACCAGAAAAAAAAACGAATCAAATCGAAAATTGCAGTTTTGCTCGATTTCGACTAGGAGATTGCACAGCTCAAAAAAAAGGAAATGAATGAACAATTAATGAACTGCATCTTTACTGTTAACAAAACATTTCATAACTATAGCTAAAATCTAAGAAAATTGACTAAATTTGTTTATACAAATCCTAGCTTCGTTAAAGTGTTTTGGCTAAGAAGGGAACCTTCCCAAGTTACCATTACAATATGAGGTAGGTGCCTGAAAGGCCTGAAAATGTACGTTCAGAAACTGTTTTCAAAAATCACTAATCGTCAAAACGCACAAAGTAATAGCTCATTTGAATTTCGAAAAAATGATGGCTTTTCTCGAAAAATGATGGCTTTTCTCTGGTCTTATTTGGTCTTCTTAAAGATATACTCCGTCGGAGTCTCCCGAATGTTGAGGGATTTTTGAAAAAAGTTTGACTGGTGGTGGGTTTGAACCAAGGTCAAAGAGTTCCCAGCGCAGGCACACTAACCACTAGGCAACGAGCTGGCTGGCTGGCTGAGCTGACTGAGCTGGCTGAGCTGACTGAGCTGGCTGAGCTGACTGAGCTGGCTGGCTGGCTGGCTGAGCTGGCTGGCTGGCTGAGCTGGCTGGCTGGCTGGCTGGCTGAGCTGGCTGGCTGGCTGGCTGGCTGAGCTGGCTTTTGGGATGGCGAAAGGAAAGCCTTTCCGCCGGCAAAAATCAGTGTGCCAGAAATTCGAGAAAAGTCATCATTTTTTTTCGAAATTCAAATGCTGATAACTTTGTGCGTTTTGACGATTAGCGATTTTTGAAAGCAGTTTCCGAACGTACATTTTCAGGCCTTTCTTTTGGCACCCACCTCATATTGTAACTCGCGGGTAACTTGGGAAGCTTTCCTTGTAAGCATTTTCTTTACTGTTGACGAGAAATAACCCGTCCTAATAGTCAATTCTCGGCTCATATTTCTGTTATTTGTAGACGAAAACGATTAATGTTTATTTTTTAAATGAAAATTCACATCGTTTCCTGTATATGTTCATGAAAATTGATGACAATTCATCAATAGATAATTTTTTTATGAACGCTCAAAAATGGCTGGTCAAAACAATAGCCGGCTGAAACATGAGTAACCATGAAAAAATCTGAATAATTTCAATTTATTATTAACTTACGAAAATAATTGAAAATTCTTCTAAGTTTTCTATAGTTTTCTAGAGCAAATCCCAGTAAAAGATGAGGAAAATCATCGCCACGAACACCGACGGAAAGTAGGACTAAAATTGTGTTTGAAATTGAGCAAAGTTAAGGTTAAAGTTAAGGTTGAAGGGTTAAAGTAAAAATTTATTTGTTATTTGTTTCTTTAACTATGTGTTTTACTTACAGCAAGACGTAAAAGCCTGTAAAAAAATGGCAAAATACCGACGACCGTCGACAAACCGGCTTGAATCATCGGCCAAAATTATGAAACTTTCTAGGGATAATTTTGATAAAATACAAAGAATTAACCGTCTATTTTCCCTTAAACTTGTTTAGAGAGTTGTAACTCTTACCTAAAAGAGCCTCTAGCTTTTCACACGAGTCTTATCGATTTTCCCGTCAACGATCTCCTTTTTTTGATGAGCTGAAAATTAATCAAAGTTGTATTTAGGCGTTTTGTAGGTTTTGCAAAACAAAAGGAGAACTAGGGGGCACACGGAGTTGAACCATGGACCTCTCGGACTGCAGCCGAATGCTCTACCACTGAGCTATAACCCCACGCGTACCGAGCCTTTGGAAAGTCCCCGAAGCTTCTCCGGTATCCGACCAGAGAGACGGTCTTTTTCGAAAGAGAAAAAACGTCAGCCAAAATGGATAGACAGAACACCGTTGAACGGCTGCCGTCATGGCCGAGTGATTAAGAATCTTGTATCCTAGTCTGGAGGTCACGGGTTCAATCCGAGTGGTTAGAAAATTTGGCTTTTACTCCCATATACATGGGTTTTTTCTCTGCAACGTCTTTAGGGCAGTTGTGTATTTGTTTGTGTCACATTATTCATGTTAAATAAATGTATACTTAATGAATAATAAAAACTGTGATTGCAAAAAAGATCAACGGATGAGTGTTTGGGTTTTCTTTAATTTGATATTGCAAATGCGGATTGTAAAACTTCCAAAGTTGCGAGATTATTGGAGTGCCCGCAAAATCTTTAGCGGTCACCCAATCGGACACCCAAAAATAATGCCAAGATATCGATATTTGAAGACCGAGCCAAATAATTGCATTCTTTCTAGTCCTAAACACTCTTTCTAGCTTCTTTTTTGTGTGTTGGGTGTAAAAAGATCGAAATTTGAGTGAGATACAAGAAATACAATTGAAGAACTGTACTGTTCAGTCAATGCTTCTTCCATAATATTATTCACCACAGAGTTTGACTTTAAAAAACCGTCGGTAAAGATTTCTTATCTGTTGTCTGTTGCCTTATCTGTTGACTCACAACATTTTTTTTAAATTTATTGATCTTTTATTCCTTTTCTATTGCACATATTTGGTCACTTTTGAAGCTTTGGTTTTCCAAAAATTATCGCCTAATGCTTTTTTAGTTTTACCAGTAAAATTTAGGAGTTCTTTTTACAATCTACCGTAAATACTGTAATAGTACCCCACCCCAATAATGACGGTGCGGAGCGTTGCGTATTCTAGCTTTGGACGCTTTTTTCTAGACACTGGTTTATGCTACAATGCGCGTTTAGGTATCAAAAAATAGCTGAAATTCAGGGGTATTTTTTGATACCAAAGACGCATTTTTTGAAAGTATGGGCGCTTTGAAAAAAAATGAAATACTAAAAAACTTTTGCGACTACGCGACTGTACGAAGGCGGTGGGGTACTATTACAGTAGTTACGGTAATATCCGTTGCATCCAAGTTACCGTCAATATTGACAGCTTGAAGCCTATCTGCCCCTTTGTCCCAGTCACGTAGCGTGTGTCGAAGTCGAATTTGTTTCGGCGTCTCGAAAAGCAAATCTGTTGGATTCAAGTTTAGTATCTTTTCTCTCAGCTCATTTTCAGGGAAACTATCACATTTTGTTTTGTTTTAAAACTACGCTTTAGTTTTACACTCAATTAGTGTCATTAAATTGTTTTACTTGTTAGCTTTTTTGAAGCCTTTTTGCCTCATTTGTGCTATGATTTTAAAAAGTGCTGTGGGAAATCTTTGGACAAGTTAGTTTTGAATATTTTCACAACTTTTAATCAAATAACTACCAATAATTTATTTCTATACAATATTTTCGTTATTTTTTTGTTTTGTTTATGAAATAATCTTTAATTCACTTTTCTTCTGAAATTGATTTTTGCATGGGAAAACTTGAATCAACAAGCTCTCAATTGAACTTCAAAAAGCATACCTAATACTATACCTAGAATTTTTCATATCCGTTTATGAATCGAATTTGCTTTTGGAGCAAGTTTGAAAATTTAGAAACATTTTGGCTAGCCAGTTCTTATGAAGTGAGGGTTTCAAAATCGTGTGATGTTTTGAAAAAATTGGCATCAGAAAAATGCTCATCGTCTCGAATTTGTCTAATAAATGGTAATCGAAGGAAGAAACCTGTAAAATGATTTACAAAATATACCGTAAATAGTGTACAGACGGTAAATATTCTAATAGAAGCCCCCCTATAGGAGCGACGCGTAGTCTAAGTTTAAACGCAGCAACGTTTCCTGCGTTAAAGTTTACTCTCAAACAAACGCGAATATCTTGACACCAGAAGATAGAAAAATGATGAAACAACTTATAAAAATCGGATCTTCTATATATATCATCGGATAGTTAGATAATTGATCAAAATCGTGATCAAATCCAGAATATCTAAAGGAAACGAAAAAAATCGATAGATTCTGTGAATGGGGCAAAGAGGAGGAATGGAAAAGAAAGAAAAGAATGGAAAGAATAGAAAGAGGTCCTCTTCTTCTTTTCCTTTCTGCTGTCCTACCCTTTAGACACAAATATCGAATGAATGACCTTTACAACAGAACACGATCTATCCCATCCAGTCGCTTTTTCTTTTCCATTCCCTTATCCACTTAAAATCAGTTTTCAAAAAATGTGAAATCGTTTTTATTGTTAGGAAATAGGTTGTACTTTTAGTCCTCAAAAGATTACTACCGTAAATACTATAATAGTACCCCAACCCCATAATGACGGTGCGGAGTGTTGCGTAGTCTAGCTTTGAACGAGTTTTTCTCGACACTGGTTTGATGCTACAATGAGCGCTTAGGTATCAAAAAATAGCTGAAATTCAGGGCTATTTTTTAATACCAAAGACGCATTTTTTGAAAGTACGGGTGCATTGAAAAAAATGAAATACTAAAAAACTTTTGCGACTACGCGACTGTACGAGAGGGGTTGAGGTACTATTACAGTATTTACGGTATGCATAAACAATATAATCTATTTCTTGTTGCAGATCAACCTGTAGGATGAGTTTGAGTCGGACCGTTGATCTGATTGGATTATGGAAATCAGATTCTTGAGGATATTTTGTTATCGCATTTCTGAAACTTTAATTAAGTAGTTTTACTTTTTTTTTGCTTAGTGTTATTTCTTTTCTTTTTCTTTCTCTTTTATTCTTTTGTTCTTTTGATTCTAGAAGTTGTTCCTAATTGTGTAAAGACTGAAGCTTGGACAGATTATAGTTTATGATTCATATATTCAAGAGAAAACGCAGATAAAAATTGTGACTTCAAAAAGACTTCTCTATTGCTCATTGCAACAAGAAAGAACCTTGGTGAAAAGTATAAAAGAATTCTTTTAGAAGTTTTGAAAGCTGATAAAAACATGATTTTCGTGAAGATTTACATTTGTGCTCCTTTTCTTTCAATAACTTGTTTACTCTTTTAATCAAAGCCTTTTTTAGAAGTGACGGGCACAGTGAAAGGTAAAAACATGGAAGAAACGGAACATAAATTGCAAATGCAGGTAAGGTTTTGTGTTTTGAAATTTTTTGAACAATAAATTTCCAGGATGACAAAGGAATCTCGACCTCCTGTGATAGCAGTGATTCAGAAGAAGAAGAAGAGATCGAAATATCCAACGAGCATTCGAAGATCGACATGAAAAGGGTAAAAGCCTCGAAATCACTTGCATTTAAAAAATGTAACCGAATTCAGTTGATAAATCTCTTCTCGTGTTCCCATCGAGACATCATCGCTGAATTCGCCAACGTAGAGACTTTTCTCGTTTCGCTCGACTCGCTCATCATCGAGTGCACAGCACACAGCTATTACAAGTCGACATTCTTCGGGCAAACAACCGTTTTAAATGCGCAGGTTTTTGATTTTTGAGAATTACAAAGTTATTAGTCTGTGTTCCTAACTAATATTATAATAGAAACCAAAGCATTTTCTTTCTTCAGATCGCGCGTTTCCTGGAGCAGTTCCGTCGAATAAGCGAAAATGTGAAATTGGTGATCTTTTCAAAGTTGTCTCTTCTTTTCAAAAGAGATCCTGATCTCGATTTCCTTCGAACTGTCGCTATTGCTCATTTGAGACAAGGACCTTATAAGAATGATATCGAGGTAGGCCTTTTAGGTGTCGAACTTATTCAGTAGGCTTCAAGAAGTATTATTCCTTTTAGACCTTTTCCTCGCCTCTTGATCCTCGATGGTCTGAGTTTCTACAAAAAACAACACCATCCTTGTTTGTAAGTAAAAGAAACTGACAAGAAACAACTTGATATCTTAGATGATCTCCACGGACTCTCCTCTCAATAAAACAAATTTCACTCCCCAACTGCAGACAATCAGTAGACTTTAAATTATCTAAGTCTTGTCTAATTTTGATTTACATTTAAAAAAGCAATGTATGGATGAACAGAAAACAGACAAAAATCTTACAGTGCTAGATGCGCTCACAAATCGTGCGTTGCCAGTGGTTCCGCTCTCTCGACTTGTCATCAACTTCACAAAAGTTAACGCGTTTTACATCGAACCAATGGTGGTTAAATGGCCGGGTCAAGAGCGCTTTTTCGAGTTATTTTGGAAAATGAAAGAAGATGAAGATGAAGAGGAATCGAGGAAAGGAAAAGAACCATCCGTCATTCCCGCATTCTCTTTATCTTTTGAGATCTGGCTTCAATGCGTTCAAGAAACGAGTGAACGGTTGGTGAATTTCCAATATAAATCACTGTGTGAATGGTGAATTAATCACTTGTGGCAATAAATATAACTTGTAGAGCTGACATTGAAAAATCTAACCATTTCGATGCCATGTGCTCAGCAGTACTTCTCTCATGGCTGGTTTGCGAGAAAAACGGTCTTAAGCGGACATATCCTGCCACGAAAGCTGAAAATGATCAAGAAATTGGCCCAGAAATACGACGAGATTTACAACAACTTCTTATAATAGCCACCGAATTCATCAAAAAAGTGAGTCTATTTTTCATTGGAGTAACAATGATTGGGATTAAGTCTCTTCATCTTGCCTACATCATAACCTTGTTCTAGGTTGACTGGAGAAAAGCGAAACCTTGCCTCAACGATTTCTTTGATGGTCGAATGGTGTGCATGTTCTTCGAAACAATCAAAAATGGCACCGAGGTGATAGAAAAAAAAGGCTTTACAGATAATTTGGCTTCCAGTTGCTGCGTTTGATCCAGACGCAACCGAGAAGTTCTCAGAAGGAACGCAACGAAATACTTAATGTAATTTCAAAAGAGGAACTAATTTGCCCCAAAACTTGCAGGAAGTTCTGAAAAAAGATTTGCATTTACAAAAACTATAGACTTCTCACGACAAGGCAAGCAAAAAGCGCACCACTGGATTTGCCTTGGATGTATCAGGTAAACAAGAAAGAAAGAAAGAAAGAAAGAAGATTTTAGCTTTTATCAGACTTAAAACTTTCTGATAAACAGCCTAAAACAAACAAACAAACAAACAGAAAAAGATAATTTCAAGTTTTATAATGTTAAGTTAGAAGTAAATCTGTTAAACGACTTGTAGCATTGTTGAAGTTTTGTTTTGTTTTGTTGGAGTTTGTTTATTGAAGTGAAGTTTCTAGTTAAACCCGTTGATTTCTCCTGTGCAAATTTTCAGCTAGACTCCAAACTTTTACGAGAGTTCGTACCCGAAAGCCAGATGATGACCTCAAAAAATCAACTACAACATCAGACAAGTAACATTTGTAGTTTTTCCGAGAATAAACGTGTCATTTAGACATAGAGAAAGAACTAAAGGAGACTCGAAAATGGCAATTCAAACAAATCGAAGAGGATTTCGAGAAAGCGCCCGAGAAAATCACAAACAAATGGCAGTTGAAACGAATCAATCGAAGCCGACAAAAACTTTCTCAATGGTCAGTTATTTATTTTGTTATGTCAAAGTTCAACTTTCATTAGATTAGAGCATTAGAGCATTAAAGTCTTTACACAATGAACACTTCTTTTTAGCTATTGAGTTAAAGAGTATGAAATGGCGATGTCTTCGGACGAACTTTTGAAAAAAAACTAAACCCTAACTTTTTTTTTCGAATAACAATTAAAGTTTTGTTTGATTTTTTGTTTTTCTAATAACAATTGTTGTTTCTAATAACAATACCCCAAAATTTCATCCCAATCTGATTTGAGTTTTTGAGAAATGAGAGAGGATGTGTTAAAAAGTCTAAATTTTTGTCTAATTTTTGTCTATTTTTGTCTAATTTTCCCTTAAAAACTAGATCGCTAAAAATTTGAGACAACTTGCTCAATTCAAAAACCGTTTGAGCCGTTAATATATTTGTACAAACTTGTTAACCAAAAGAAACATAAAATTTTTGAATAAGAACTTGTTACTTTTTGAGAATACATGAGATATTTTTTGATACTATTTCCAGGACTTCAAATAGGACTTTTTCCCAGGACTTTTTCAATCTTTAATTTTTATTATTGAATTCGATTTACTATTTTATAAAATAACCATTTTAACTGGATGCTAGTCGAGTATTTTTGTTATAAACATCGTCACGTTAAATGGTAGTCAAAAAATGTTAAGTAGTAGTCAAAAATCGTTAAATGGTAGTCAAAAAACGTTAAGTAGTAGTCAAAAATCGTTAAATGGTAGTCAAAAAACGTTAAGTAGTAGTCAAAAATCGTTAAATGGTAGTCAAGGATCGTTAAATGGCAGTCAAAAATAGTTAAATGGTAGTCAAAAGTAGTTAAATGGTAGTCAAAAACCTTTGGCAGATCCCTCTCCATTTCTCAACTCAACACTCAACAAAATTTCCATCAGATCAGGATCAAATTTTAGCGTATAACCAAAAAAACTTCAATTGTTACTAGAAAAAATTTGAGAAAAAGTTATGGTTTGGTTTTTTTCAAAAGTTTATCCGAAGACGCTACCATTTCATACTCTCCAACCCAACACTTTAAAGACATTCTGCCACAATATTTTCAGGCATGAGTCTTTTGCAAACTCGCTTGAAGGCCGAGTAACTAATTTGTTGGTGGATTTCTCTCGAACTCCCGCTTTTGCGGGTAAAGAATCCAACCCTAACACAGAAAGCCAACCATTGAAAGCGAAAGGGTGGCCCGGGCAAAAAGCTGGTAAAATACATAAATTACTATCTCAACGTGTAATTTAATATATTCTAACATGTGGATTAGCTTAAAAATTAACACCTAATCAGTCATTTTTTAGGAGGAGGTGGAAAAAAGAATAAGTCGAAAGAAAAACCTGAACAAATTCGAGAGAAAAATGCAAAAGAAAAGGAGAAAAAGCTACTCGATGATGAAAGAATTCGAATCGAGCACTATGCTGAAGGACAAAATGTGCAAAAACAAGAAAAAAAATCTTTGAAATAAACAAAGCTCTAGGCGATCGCTGCTCTCGAGAAAGCCCTTTCCGAGCTTCGAACCCAAGAGATGAAAGCTTTATGCAACTACAAAATCGTGAAACAGGCGGCAAAGTACGAATATTTGTAGATAACACCAAAGAAAGCTTATTCCAGAGAACTTCTCGCAAACACAGAAGCAACTCGACGAAGAAAAGCGATCACAATCGTCTCCCATCTGAAATACGCCTTCAACGAGCATTGGGAACAAATGAATGAAAAGCAACAAACTGAGGTAAAGCTTTGCTTTGTGGAGAAAATGACTTACGTTTAGATGGTAAACATTTGGGTGTCGCTTGGCTTCGATCCACCTAAAGGAAAAATAGTCACAGAGGAGGCGGGGACAAAAAAATTGGATTTGGGAATGAACATGGTAAGCTAGGACTTGGGATTGGAACTTTTTAGAACTCCAAAAAACTTTGGAAAATATTGGAAAACCTTATTGGAAACTGACGAAAATCCTTAACCCTAACTTACTAACAACGCAAGGTCAACTGGATAGGCTTCGATAGGTCTATGGTTCATCTCATTTGGCCAGCCTATCCAGTTGATCTTCCCTTGTAAGCAAGTTCTGCTTAGATTTACTATCAACTCGAGTACGCGGGCGAATTGATTGACATCCAATCGGATCCGCAGAAGGATGATCGCGTGACTGGCTTTTATCCGGATGCCTGGCAAAGGAAAATGCTCGACATTGTCGACAAGAGTAAGCCAAATTCTTCCAGATACAAATAGTTTTAAACCTTTGATAAGTACTAAAAATTTCTAGACGAATCAGCGCTCATCGTCGCGCCGACATCAGCTGGAAAGACTTTTGTGTCCTATTATTGTATCGAGAAAATGCTTCGCGCTTCCGATGATGACGTCGTCATTTATATTTCCCCATCAAAACCGCTTTTAAATCAGGTGCACTTAAAAAGAAAGATGATTTGCATACGCTTCCTTACTGTTACAAGATTATTAAAGGTATGCGGCTCTCTGTACGCTCGGTTTCGTAACAAAACGATGAAACCAGGAAAAGCTCTTTTTGGGACGCTAACTTCAGAGTATGGGACGGATGTCCTCAATTGTCAGGTTTTGGTTAAAAGACATTGTACACATGTGTATTCAATTCAGGTGTTGGTCACTGTACCAGAACGTCTGGAAGCTATACTCCTATCAACGAATCCGGACGTTCAGCAGTTTGCCGCCAAAATCAAATACGTGATTTTCGACGAAGTTCACTCGATCGGGTACTTTATTGTAGCTCTTCTTGGTACTTTTTTTGTTGTTGGGGAGGCCCTGGGTGTACTGTTGAGATTGACGAATCACTCTTCGCAAAACGGAAATATCATGTTGGGCGAATGGTCGATGAGAAGTGGTGTTTTGGCGGAGTGTACAGGGTTCTGAAATGAAAAGTTTTGAGTGCTCGTTCCCTGATCAGTTGATACTTTGATTCCAACTATCGAGACGTATTACTAACTGCGTTTTTTTTGATTGGATTTTGAAAATAACTGCGGTTTTTGATATCAATTATGTCGGGCCTTGTTTCTGAGTTTTTTAAGCACGGATTCCTTTAGATTTTTTTAATTGTTGATAGCTTTTCTTCACAATGTCGTAAAAAAATTTTTTTACCTAAACAATGATTAATTTTGGGGACTCAAAATAAGGAGAATGGACAAATGACAAATTCGAACAATTTTTTGTCTGAGTTCAAGCTTTGACATAGCTCAACGATTGCGGTCGAAAATATCAATCGTGCATTTGGTCATGAGACTACTTTTGTTAACCGCTCAGGTTTGGTTCAAACGATTCCGGGAAGGAGATGAGAATCTTGATGACAAAGAGGGTCGCGGTCGCCCAAGACTCATTAACGATGATGATTTAAGACAATTTGTCAAAGCCAATCCGCAGACTACTGAGCCAGAATTAGCAAAACACGTCAATGCAAGGATTTCGACCATAAGTGATCACTCGAAGAATATTGTAAAGGTTAAAAAACCGGAGAAGTGGATACCTCATCAATTGGACGACCGCCAGAAGTTTACACGCTTTCTTGCTGCTGCTTCGTTGAAATTTCGGAACAATAGAGATCTTTTTCGGACCGGCTGATTGCGTGCGATGAAAAGTGGATGCTATATGACAATTGAAAACGAAATTCAGAGTGGTTTGACAAAAGAGAAGCACCTCATTTGTTCCCGAAACCCGATCTTCATCTAAAGAAGGTGATGCTCTGTGTTTGGTGGTATAAAAAGCGCGCCATTTCATTATACTTTGCTCAAAACAGGAGAGAGTATAAATTCAAACATTTATATCAAACAAATTGAAGGAATGCATTCAAAATTGAGGAATTTTAGCCCGTCTTTGGTCAATCGAAAGAGACAATTCTGTTTCAAGACAATTCTAGCCAGAATCTATATCTTTGAAGACTCTCAATTGTTTGCTAAGTTTGGAGATCAAAGTTCTTCCTTATCCGTCGAATCCATCTGATCTTTCTCCAAAGGATTGTTACTTTTTCAAGCATCTCGATCGTTACGTCGTAGACAAAATTTTCAAGAACGAAACAGAGGTGAAAAATGCTATCGAAGACTTCATCGCCTATAGACAGCTTGACTTTTTTGCCGCACGGATCGAAAAACTGGCTACTCGTTGGCAAAAGTTTATTGATTCTAGCGGTTGTTATTTCGATTAATTTGATTTTTGTTTAATAAAATAATTTGCCATGAAAAATCATGAAAAAAACGCAGTTATTTTCCAGAGTACTGGAAATTGGTTCCTGGAACCCGGAAAATGAAAGGGAAAGATTCCCCCCAGCTAATTTTTCTCTGAGATTTCCCCAGATAACACAAAACCCTCTCCTTTACAACATAGCCAATATTTCAGCTCAAATAATTTTATGTCAAATGTTGAGCTTGCCTTTTAGTGCCTCGCACGAGGCTCCAATCTGGGAACACCTTCTTCTTCTCATCCAATGCCCATTTCTTGCTCTTTCGGCTACAATCGGAAACGTGAATTTATTGCATAAATGGTTGCAATCGAAAACAAAAGCTCAAGCAAATGTAAGAGTTTTTTAGTTTTATTTTCTTCATTCCATAGAAATTTCTAACTAGGGAACGAACTTAAGGTGAGCTTTTGTCTGGACACAGAATCGGCTATGAGGTATCTGAATCTGAAATCAAAATCTGCCAAATGACTTTCCAGGCGTGTGAAACTTCAATCGAAAATTTGGCGTCAAAACGGATGCTTTAAAGGGCTTTTTCCTAGGGGGATAACGTACATTGGTAATCTAGTGGCTAACGCAATAAACTTCCGCCCACAAGATCAGAGTTCGCTCCGTCATGTAGCTTTTTCTTTTTCTTTTTCAATATAATTTGGAAAAATGAGAGAAATTGAAAAAAGCATATTGACATAACTGGAATCGCCAAGCCACTATAAAGCAAGCCACTATAAAGCAAGCCACTATAAAGCAAGCCGCTATAAAGCAAGCCGCTATAAAGCAAGCCGCTATAAAGCAAGCCGCTATAAAGCAAGCCGCTATAAAGCAAGCCGCCAAAATGCAATTAGCTGCAAAATGCTAAAAGGTGCTCTAAAAGAAAAACAAAAACAACATACTGCATCAGGGACTGAACCCTGATCTTTATGGTGGAAGGTTAATGCGTTATCCACTAGGCCACCAACGCACCTTTTCCAGGCTAGGAAGAAGCCTTTCCATCTGCTTTGGCGCCAAATTTTCGATTGAAGGTTTACACGCCTGGAAAATCATTTGGCAGATTTTGATTTCAGATTCAGATACCTCATACCCGATTCTATGTCCAGACAAAAGCTCACCTTGAGTTCGTGCTTTTCCCTTGTAAGGTGATACTGTTTAAATTTTTAAATTTATTATTCTTAGGTGCATTTGATCGAATACGACGAACGGTACTCCGAACTTGAGGTTGCCATAAAAAAGATCAGGAAACCGGAAAGTGGAAAGCTTAAACTAGAAGCGTATCAAAAAGGAAACGAGGCACCAAAAATCAAACGGTGAATACGATTTTATCCAATTCAGAGCTCGATTCTACCAATGATGCCATACGCGATGTTTATGCTCGACAAGATTCGCCGCTTTGGGATCCCGGAGGATAGTCAGTTGACTGCTCGGCAAATCATCGATTTTTACCATTTTGCTGCCCAAGTTGACGCAAAAACAAAGTATGATGGACACTAAAATTTTGTTTCTTTTAACAATTTGTATTAGCTAATCGTTTTTAGAGACGAGCTCGAACCGTGCAAATTTTTTGGGTATTCTCCCGGAAAACTTGTATGGATTTCGAGAAGTGAATTGCGGCGTTTTGAGAACGAACTCAAGAAGAGGTCGATTTTTTTTTCAACGTTTTGACTTACAGGTTGCAACTTGCTTTGCAGATTCATTGACTGGCTTGAGCACGATGAAGAAAAAGTGATCTCGATTCTGGAGAGATTTCGACACCCAATCAGAGAACAGCTGAATGCTCGTTCTTTCCCTTTTTTTCAGGTAAACGGAAAGACAGTTTAGTTTTATCTATTTTCTACGAAGAAAAGCACTTGATACAAACAATTTAAGCGAAAAGTCGTCCTCGAAACAATCGTATCGTTGGTTGAAGAGTTGCAAGATGAGGAAATGTTACCAGCTATCTGTTTCAACGAGGATCGTTTCATTTGTGAGGATCTTGCTAAAATGTACAGAAAAGTCTTTTTAAACAAACAAGCATTCACTCATTTAGCCTATGTGATGTGCTTGAAGCTCGACAAGACGACTTTGAGAAAAGTGACGAGTACAAGGCTAAGTACCAAATTAAAGATGAAGAGGTTTGTTATATTGAAGCTAGAAGGAAAGTACCGATATGTTAAACAAGTTTGCTAATGTGAAAAAGCAACACTTATTATTTAGGAACTATGTAGATCTACTTAGAAACGATTCAGCTCTATTTACTATTAAGCTCTATTTAGAAACTATGTAGATCTATTTACTATTAAGCTCTATTTAGAAACGATTCACCTCTATTTAGAAACTATTTAACTCTATTTAGAAACTTTCAAAGCTAGCCAAACGAAAACGAGACGACAATGCAAAGAAAAGAAAAAAGAATGACGAGATAAGTTTTGATGATTAAAGATATGCTTGTAGATACTTAACATGTATAAATTACAAAGCAATTTTGTTTAAGAAGAAGATCAACGAGAAGAAATTGATCCCCTTGCGGCACAAAAATCCAAATTAGACGCGATGTTGTCCAGGTTGGTTTTTTGTTTCAAGAAAACAAAACATGCAAGTATTTTTTCTACGTAATTTGTCCTTTATTAAATAATCACACGGCTTATTATAGAAAACTTAAAAGAGTAAAAAGAAGAAGAAGAAGATTATCAAATCAAATCAAATCAAAATCAAAAGAAGACTTTAGATTTCGCCTTCGTGCTCGTCCAAACGCCGACAAAGACATCTATGATAAAGTGATCGAGAGAATGCTACAACGTGGGCAAGACAGACCAACAACACAGCTAGAGTTTCTGTTAAAATATTAAAAAGAGAGATTTCAGGATTTTGTTGAGACTATTTGAAAGAGGAATTGGCTATCATCACGCTGGACTCTCGGCTGTTGAAAGAGGAGGTGTCGAGGTGCTTTTTCGAAGTGGACACCTAGCGATCATCTTCTCCACAAGCACACTAGCACTTGGGTAAACCAATAAACAACTCTAGTAAATGTATTGTTAGGCTGGCAAGTTATAAACGATCGTTTTTGGGGAATGTGTTTTCTGAAAAAACGGCTTATCCAATCAGAAAACGGTTTGCTTCATTCAAAAGCCCTTAATCTACAAAATGGCTTTTTTGAATTTTTGAAAAATGTTTTATTTTAGAACTTTTTCAGGCATTTTAATGTAAGAGTTCAAAATCCTGGTTTCTAGCATTCATGAGCTAATATATTTTTTGAGTGATTGCATACTTTTTAAAATAAAACGCTTCATCGATTACATAGTTTCCCAAAATTTCAGAACAATCCAATCTTCGGAAGGTTGATTTTCAAATTAGGCTCAAAATGCACTTTTGTGCTAATTTAATCCATTTTCGTTTGAATTTAAGATTAAAAAAAAAGAATTCAAGATTAAAAAAAAAGATTAAAAGAAAGAGAACGGTTCGATCGACTGGATGGTTCTGCAATTTTGGAAAACTATGTAATCGATACCGAACGATTTTATCCGTTTGATCATAGGTGACATGGGCTCGTTTGACGTTTAGAGTAACGACAGCAGTGCGATAAAACTAAAATCAAACTAAGTTTGAAAGTTTAAAGCAAGCAAGTTTGAAGAAAGCAAGTTTCTAGCATTCATGAGCTAATCTATTTTTCAGTGATTGCATACTTTTTAAAATAAAACGCTTCATCGATTACATAGTTTCCCAAAATTTCAAAACAATCCAATCGATCGAACCGTTCTCTTTCTTTTAATCTTTTTTTTAATCTTGCTTAAATTCAAACGAAAATGGATTAAATTAGCACAAAAGTGCATTTTGAGCCTAATTTGAAAATCAACCTTCCGAAGATTGGATTGTTCTGAAATTTTGGGAAACTATGTAATCGATGAAGCGTTTTATTCTAAAAAGTATGCAATCACTCAAAAAATATATTAGCTCATGAATGCTAGAAACCAGGATTTTGAATTCTTACATTAAAATGCCTGAAAAAGTTCTAAAATAAAACATTTTTCAAAAATTCAAAAAAGCCATTTTGTAGATTAAGGATAGGGCTTTTGAATCAAGCAAACCGTTTTTTGATTGGATAAGCCGTTTTTTCAGAAAACACATTTCCCAAAAACGATCGTTTATAACTTGCCAACCTAATATTATGCTTATAGAATTAATATGCCTTGCAAGACGGTGATTTTCGGGATGGACAATCCGTTGATGACCCCGCTGCTCTATAGACAAATGAGTGGACGGGCCGGAAGGAGAGGCTTCGATCACTCGGGAACTGTTATTTTTGTTGCATACTCAACTGGGTAGTGCTAAAAAATTGTTTTATTATACATCTACATATATTTAGAAAAATTTGTCGATTGCTCACGGCCTCGTTGACAAAGATATCGGGAAATCCTCCGTTTACTTGCACATATTTGTTGCGCCTTCTCGCGTTCGCTCAACAAGATACGGGAAAAGCCAAGGTTTGCAAGACTAAAATCACATTTAATATTAAAGCTTGAAATCATTAAAATCTAGATTGTGCTCTCTCTGTTGCGCAATCCTCTTGCTTTGTACACCGGAGACATGAAAAAGGAAACTCTCCAACAACAACTCCGCATGTACACCTTTTTCGGCGTTCAGCTTCTCCGACATCTACAATTGATTGATGATCAAGTACGACAATGTTTCTAAATGTTCCTAAAGGTTTCTAAATGTTTCTAAATGTTTCTAAATGTTTCTAAATGTTTTTAAATGTTTGTAAAGGTTTCTAAAGGTTCCTAAATGCTCCTAAATGTTTCTAAATGTTCCTAAAGGTTTCTAAATTCCTCCATTCTCGGCTTAACCATACATTTCATGTCTTTCTTTAGGGAAATGCTTGTGGCCTTTTCCAACTTGCCTCTCTTCTTCATGAGTTCGAGCCCGGGAATCTTTTCTTTATTCACTTGCTACAAAACGGTATGGCTTGTTATATGAAGTGAAACAATCCTACTCAGGCATCTTTCATACACTTTGTGAAACGTTGAAAGGCGATGAGCTAAAAGATGAGCTTATTGTGGTTTTGGCTAATCTTTTCACCAGGTCTGATTGCTCTAATTTGAAAAATTACTCTAATTTCAAACATACAGAACCTACCTGCCAATATCATTTGATATCAAAGAATCGGAATGTAAAACGATGTCAAAAAATGAACTCTCTCAAGTTTGACGGCACTTTGAGAGCTTTGTAAACTTTATGTTCAGATCGCTCTCGTCTCCTTATCAGAACCCGTTCAAAAAGAAATTGATCAGTGGGTTTGGATTTCCTTTAACGTAATTTGTGAAAATTAAAGAAATTATAGTTCTCCCAGGGAAAATTTAGACTAAACACAAAGGCACACGAGCTTTACAAACGTTTATTGTCAATGGTGAACCCAGAGAAAACCCTCTTGGTGAGTTTTCAATAGGAGCAACCAATAGAGTTTGTTGTGTCAAAAGGGGAAAACAAATAGGCGGATCTTCGTTTTTTCTCCAGATTTCTTGAATCATCAAAGTTTTTTTCTTTCTTGATGAATCATTGATGAATTCTTGATGAATTCTTGATGAATTCTCGATGAATCGGCCGGAATCTTGATGGAATTCAATCAACGAAATCTTGACTTGGAAAACTCTACAACAAAAACCCATTGCGAATCTGTTGTTTTGAGTTTTAAAATAAAATATAATTCTTAACATTCTTAACATCTTAGGATGAGCCCTTTTTGCTGACGGGAAATGAAAAAAATGAAAAAGAAAACGCTTTTTGTCCGGAGTCCCTCGTCTCTCCATATTTCTCTGGCTTCCTTCGCGATGAATCGTTCTTGCCAACTCTCGACTTGACTCCGAAAGATCATCGAGGCAAACGGGTTAGAGCTATCGTTCTGATCTCTATCCATCAATTTTAGTATTACTTAAATGCTTATGCAATCGATTTCTGGAGACATGGCTCTCGAAAAGCTTTGATCCGAGAAAACGGACTCCACCCAAACCATGTCTGGTATCGACTCAATGCTTTCAAGGTCAGTAAAAACTATTTTTAGTACAATTTTTAAAGAATACTTTAGTAGTTACTAGTTTTAATAGATTTGTTTATTCAGAGCGTTCTCGAGAAAATCGCTTTCGGCCTTGAGTCACTCGCCGGCTGTTGTGACCCATTTGTTGAAGTGATGAAAGTGAGTGACTTTAACCATTCTATGATACTATGAATCTAATCAATTATTAACTATTTAGCTAAAGAGATTTGATCTTGTTGAACTAGTTGTTTTAATGTAAATATCACTTCTGTTGTTCATATGTAATTCCAAATTTTAGTCCATCTCCGATGACTATGATATAAAGTTTCGAGTCGCTTTCGACATGCGACTGAAAAGCTCTTACTAGGTTTTGTGTTGCTAATGTGACAGAGGTTTTTCTGAATTTAATGCCTGTATTATGTAAAATAAGTGTCTTAATCGAATCTATGCGTTTCAATCTCGTTTAAACGTTGGTTCATCATAATTTCATCGTGAATGTTTTAATAAAAATAATCTTTGACCGCTAACAAACATGAATTTATTAATTTATTCACCGAATTTATCAAGAAACAAGCTACATATTCAAATAGAAACACTCAATCTACTATCTTGCATTTCATTCAGTACATTTGGAAGTCCCAAGCCGTATTCCACCATCACAATTCTCCACGTCGACTCGGATTTCATCTGTACATTTTTTTTTGTACACCGGAGACATGAAAAAGGAAACTCTCCAACAACAACTCCGCATGTACACCTTATTCGGCGTTCAGCTTCTCCGACATCTACAATTGATTGATGATCAAGTCCGACAATGTTCCTAAATGTTTCTAAATGTTTCACAATTACCCGCACTCAGTTCAGTTTCTCCAGCTTAGCGAAGAGTCAATCAATTGATCTAATTCTTGTTTTATTATCAAATTGAATATATCTTCTGCAATGTATTTTCTGAATTTGATCAGAAAAGTTTCTCAGCTTTTGCTAGAGTGCTGCAAAGTTGCGACACGCGTTTCCTGCAACGGAATCGCGATTTTCTTGTTTTTGTAACTAGTTTCAATGCCTTAAAAGAAAACCAATCATTCAAAGAAAATTTCAATCAAAGAAAACCAGCTTCATTTACTCTTTTTACTTAATATTTTGCTTAATAACAAAATTTAGCTCATTTTTACTAGAATAAAATGAATTTCGATTAGGGATCAAAGTTCAAAATGTGAATTTGAATGGAGTGTGGGTAATTGTGCACCACCCTGTATTCCCTAAATTAAATCAATACTTTCAGGTGTGTTCGCACAAGAGCATTTCTAGAGTTTATGTCATATATGGAATGGAATTTGGAATGGTCAATAGGGAGGACATCAAAAATTTTAATAGTTTTACGGGTAAAAATAAAAAAAACAGTATTATGTAGTGTTTTTTCCTTTCAATGCGTAATTGCACTGCTTCGGGCAGTGTTCCTTTCTTGCTTATCTCTCGTCTCAAGCAAAAAGATCAATAGCCGCTAGTGACAACTAGTAAGTGCTAGAGGCCTCGGCTTCAATCCCAGTGGCTGGGAGTGGCCCCCAAGTCACGTATTACGGTCACGTATTAAGAATTAACCGTCTATTTTCCCTTAAACTTGATTAGAGAGTTGTAACTCTTACCTATAAGAGCCTCTAGCTTTTCACACGAATCTTCGAATCGAATTCTTCCGGGAAAATCCTTTGCACCGGTCCCACCCTCACTTGATTCAACTCCAAGAAACCAGTGCCTTTTAGTTTGGGGAAAATCTCGAGAATGCTCTTGATGTTGTAAGTTTTCTTCTCAGATTCCTCTTTCTCTTCATAGACGTCCAATTCAGCACAATAAATAATGTTTTCCAAGAGGTGATGATACTTCAATAGTTCTCTCAAATTCCACCGAAAGTGCGCGAAATCACAGCGAACCCAAGCAATTTGTGAATGCCGGGTCTTTGAAGAAAGATAAATGTAAATTTTATCGAGTTTTTGTCCAAGTGGACCGTTTCGTAATACCCAATGCCGCAAAGAGCGATTCACTTTCAGCAACGTCAACAATAAAGACATATCGATTTTTGGGAGCACCAGTTTCTTAAGTTCATTTGGAATGGTCAATAGGGAGGACATCAAAAATTTTAATAGTTTTTCGGGTAAAAATAAAAAAAACAGTATTATGTAGTGTTTTTCTTTTCCCTGCGTAATTGCACTGCTTCGGGCAGTGTTTTTTTCTTGCTTATCTCTCGTCTCAAGCAAAAAGATCAATAGCCGCTAGTGACAACTAGTAAGTGCTAGAGGCCTCGCTTCAATCCCAGTGGCTGGGAGTGGCCCCCAAGTCACGTAGTACGGTCACGTAGTACGGTCACGTAGTACGGTCACGTAGTACGGTCACGTAGTACGGTCACGTAGTACGGTCACGTATTAAGAATTAACCGTCTATTTTCCCTTAAACTTGATTAGAGAGTTGTAACTCTTACCTATAAGAGCCTCTAGCTTTTCACACGAATCTTAGCGATTTTCCCGTCAACGATCTCCTTTTTTTTGATGAGCTGAAAATTAATCAAAGTTGTATTTACGTGTGTTTTGTAGGTTTTGCAAAACAAAACAAGAGCTAGGGGGCACACGGAGTTGAACCATGGACCTCTCGGACTGCAGCCGAATGCTCTGCCACTGAGCTATACCCCCACGTAGACCATGGGTTTGGAAAGTTCCCAAACCTTCTCCGGCACCCGAACAGAGAGATGGTCGTGTTCCGATTGTAGATTTTATTATTTACTTAATTGAATTCCTGCTTTTAATCGGTCAATGCTACTTTTTTGAAACAAAGACTTTTAAGCAGAATAAAGAATGGATCGAATTCATTGAAATTCGTAGAAATTGATTAGATAAATCTATTAGGTGTGTGAAAAAGTAATCCACGTTTTTAACGTTTAAATATAAAAGACCATAAGTTTCGTTAAAATAGAAATCTGAATAGAATAGAACAACCTTTTGCCAACGTTCTACAAGTAAAGATATTCCACGATAATAAAAAGCTTGGTCCGTAGAGGCGAAGAAAAGATTAACCTCGGTTTTGACATCTTCTTCGGAATTGAACCGTTTATTGGCCAAAAAGTTAGACAGAGACAAAAATAAATAATAATCAGATGGAGAAAGGTCTGAACTATAAGGTGGATATGGTAAAACCTTCCATCCAACACTCTGGATTTTTTGTCGAGTCTGTAAAGAGACATGTGGTCGCGCGTTATCGTTCATGCGGTATCCATTTGTCCAACTTTTTGATAAAATTCATGGCATTCAAGCGTTTCCTTACGGTTGACCCATCACAATTTAATGTAAGGCCTATTTCTGAAGAGGTTGAACGAGGGTTTTCGAGAAGACAGAGTCTTATTTGGTCATCAGATAAAAATAAAAAACGTGGATTACTTTTTCACACACCTAATACTATATAATCTGATTAGCAGATTTGAAACAACTTGAAATCAATAAATAAATCTTACTGATGTATCTTACTGATGTATCTTACTGAATTTCATCTTACTGAATTTCAAAGATCTCTCAAAGACAAAGAGTTTATTGAGCGAATTGAGCATCTGTCCAGAATTTCTTTTGAAATGTTTCCATTTCCTCTTTGTAAACGTCAAATCTTTTCTCTTCTAGCCCAGGAGCACCTAAATTGAATATAAATATAGTTGTGAATGTTAAATATGCTGTAAGTTAAAGAACTCTTGAAACTAATCACTCTTGTCACTGAAATCCTGAAAGCTTTTCATAATTAGATAGAGAAAATCATTTACTTCCAACATCGATTCCTTCCATTTCGAAAAACCACAAATAGTTGTACATAATTAAAAGCATTTCTTGTAAATTGCTTAATGGAATATAAAGCAATCCTCTATACTCAACCAGACACTGAGTTGTGATGTTCTCTAAGCGAAAAGCTGTACTACAAAAGTGTGCCTGTTTGTTCGGAGTGGCTAGGCTGACAATCAGACCGGTTCTCTCATTTGCACCCCACGATGGACCATGACAATGACTTCTGGTCTGTTCCTTTTTATTTTCCGCTTTTGGCCACCCTAGTTCCGTAACACAAACAAAGAAAAACCCGTACGAGGGATCAAGGCGAACGCTCATTTCTTTTAAAAGTCCTTCAACTAAATAGAGAAACGTTTCTCGGTGATACTGAGCTCGAGGCCAGAAATGTAATAATCGAAAAGCTTGTTCAAAAAGTGAATGTGTCACGAGAAATTCTTTCTGATCGAGTCTCTCACATAAAGAATACGGTATTCTCATTGAAGAGCTTGGAGCTGATTCGGGGAATTCTCGAATCTCACATTTTATCTCACACCCACAAACAGCTGCCTCTTCATTCATCGGAACTCGATTCCAAAAGTAGATATAACCCCAAAAACGTCGCGTTTTATCGGAAAGAGTGTATTTGATGAGATCTTCAGCGTATAGTGGTCTTTTCTTATAGTATTTTTTGTCTAACAGCTGTTGGAGTCGTTGAAAGAAGCTTTCGAATGGCTTCACTTCTTTAGGTCCTCTCTTTCTTTCTAGATGAGCGTATTTTTCGATGAGAGCTTTCTTTTCGCATAGGGCTCTTCTTACAGCTTCGATATCTAATGTGATTTTGCTTGTTGGTTGATCCCACATCAGCTTTTCGTTTTCAGTCAACTCTCGAATCTCGCTGAGATCTCGCTTAAATGCTAATCCATATCGACCACACCATTCGGTTCGCGAATCCGCCAAATAGTAGGTACAATATTGTCGACGTCTCGTAAAAACTTTCCCAACTTCTACGATGTTATGAATAGCCAGATTAAGAAAATCGATCAATTCCACCCAGCTCAGCGTCATCATTTGGCAATTCCATAACGCGTGAATTGCAAAACGAAAGCAAAAATCTTGTACAATGAAATCGAGAGCAACTAGGTTTGCAAGAAGTTTTATATGACTCTTCATCGGCTCGAGCAAATCCTTTTTTGAAGTCCAATTAAAATAACGATATCCTGGGTAATGATATTCTTTATTGCCATACGTTGTACAGTCCATATCGCCACCGGTTTGTTCTTTTGAAAAGAAAACGAGAAACTCATGAATTTCTTCTAATAGAATGGGTTTCTTTTTTATCGTTAATTGAGCAAAATTCGTGGTAAGGCAAAAGTATTGAGCAAGATTTCCTCGCAACTCGTTCAGATCAACGTATTCCCCTTTGTATGTACCAACTACTAGAGATTTACACTGGGAAAAATCCGTTTCAGCGCTTTTTTTAATTCTTAAACGTTGAAAGTTTGTATTCCGAAGTAGCTTTGGGAGAAATTCGTATTGAAAATACTCGTTTAAGAGTTGCTCTTCTCTGGTGATTGGGTGCTGATCAATGACCAATGTCTTGCTTTTGCTAGATGGTTCGCTAGGCTCAATAAAAGCTGTAAACCCTGTGATATCTTGGGGGAGAATCTCCGCTGTGTTGAGCTCGATTTGTTTTTCAAAGGAGACAATCACACCATCGGGTTTCTTCTGTCTTTTTTGCTCTCTGTTGATTTCTGGTTGAGCATTGTAGGCGGTAAAGAGCTGAAAAGTGTTACTGGGAAAGTTCAAGTTCAAGTTCAAGTTCAAGCTTTAAAGCTTCTTGTATAGCTATCTAGTACAGAATTTTAGCTATCTAGTATAGAATTTTAAAAAACTAACGCAGGATTCTAAAAATTCAGATATTTTTATCCTATTAGGTTGATGCATAAGTGTTTTTGTTCCTTTTCGTCTGCCGTTTCAAGCCAACAAATGCACCAATTAAACTACGGTTGATTTCATTAGAAAAACCAATTATTTTTCTGCAAAATAACATTAAAACGGGTTTAAAAATATTTAATGCCTGGATTTTCTTGAGAGTATGAAGTCGGGTAGTCAAAAAGGGCTAACTCGATGATGCGGTTTAGACACCTTAGTTAAAGAAAACCTATCTTCGTGTCAATAGATAAAAGATAGAGAAAAAAAACGTTTGATATTTCGCCAAAATTTCAGAGAAATTCATTCAGCCAATTTTTCCGTAGAGTTTTTTATAGATTTTTACGAAAAAGGCGTTTTTCACTCTCGAATTTGCTTGAAAGTGAACCGAAATTCATTTAAAAAGATGGAAATTGAACAAAAAAACACTTTTTTTATAGAGCAAACTATAGATTAATTGGTGAATTTGTTACTTTTTAACAGAAGTACGAAAAAAACGAAAAGACTTATGCATCAACCTATTAATATGCCGATTTTCATCAAGATTTTCATCAAAAGATTTCAACTCTCACGACGATTATACTACACAAGCTTAAAAGCTCAACAATTGCTATTTTTTGCTGAAAACCACCGTTATCTCGTTTTAACTCCGTACCTTTAGCAAGTCACCGTACCTGCGTCGTTGTCGATGGTTTGAGTCGTTGTCGTTGTCGTCGTTGTCGACACTCCCGTGTTTTTGGTCTTCCAAGCTTTCGTCGCCCTCTGGAACCATCGTTTACACTGACTTTCGGATAGAGCATCTTCGTCAAACACTTGAGATAGAGCGCGATGAGCTTCAGCAGCCGATTTGCCTTGCTTAAACTCATACCACAAGCAGGCCCGCAAGCGAAATTTTTGGTCCAACATTTTCTAAACACTCTTTCTTGTAAAAAAACAAAGTAAACATAGACAAATTATATCTTAAACGATGCGCAAGAACACGCTCTTTCCAATAGAATAAACTATAAACTGCTGTTTTCGGTGATTTTCTAAAAGGCACTAGCGGCACCGTAGTGCGTACGCGATGCTCCGCGTCGGGATCGCCGTTTTCTCGCCGGTTTTTGAATAGCATCGCGGCGCGAACTATTCTCAACCGTTCATCATGTTCTCTTAGAAAATCTACTCGTCATTTAAAGATTGCTTTCCTCAGAGGGATCGACGTTTATACCTTCATTTCGCTTTAGCAGAACAATTCTTTTTGTTGTGTTGGTGACTTGCTAAAGGTACGGAGTTAAAACGAGATAACGGTGGTTTTCGGCGAAAAATCGCAATTGTTGAGCTTTTAAGCTTTGTTTATATAATAAATATTTCCATATTTCTCGTATAATTTATATTTCTGTCCATCCAAGTCTGGTCGCTAAAGATTTTTGCGAAACGTTGACTTAAACGATCAAAAACTTTGCAAAAGGAGATCTTTTCAAAAAAACCGTTATTACCATTTGATAGACCAAAGTTTTTTCTTGAAAACAAGCCACAAACGAACTTTATAACTCAAAAACGAAAGATTTTCAAGCAATTCCACGAAGAGCACCTAAATTTCAAAAGCAAAAAAAGCGCTCATCCTCATACTCATGAAAAATTTGTTTAGAGTTGCAACTTTTATGAAAAAAAAGTATAGTAAGGGTAAAAATATCTGAATTTTCATAATCGGGTGTTAGTTTTTTAAAAATAGCGTATTTTCCGAGTCAAATTGTCCATTTACAAAAAGTGGAAGAGCTTTTGGGATACCCTGTGGTGTTGCGCTCTACAAAAAAAGACGATTTTCTCAAGAACTAAAAGAATTGACAGTTTTTTTGTTTAGTTATTTAAAATCTACGGGCATTTTTTCACTAGATTTATAAGTTTGTGTAAAAATTTTGAAACTCAACCTTCTCTAAAGATTCCGTTTCCTTTAACGCCTTAGCAGCATCAAAACGTTTCTCGATGGTAATTTTTCGGGAAGAGCAGCTAAATTCATATGCAAAAGAATGCTTTGAAAAATGCTTTGAAAAATGCTGCAAAAGAATGCTTCAAAAAATGCTTCAAAAAAGAATTCATACCTGTTAATTAGCTCTTTTAACTTTTCAGTTCCATCGGTTGTTGTTGAAAAATGAAACGCGTTGATTTGACTGGGACAACGACTATAAATAGCAATAAACTGATTACCTTTTGGATTACCGTATTCTCTAATAGTAGTGCACCCTGAGCGTCGAATTTTCAGAATATTTTTCAGTATTTTCGTCAATCATGACTTTATTTGTAAAGTTGGCGATTTTGGGGCGTATTTCAAGTGCAAGGGTATTTCAAGTATATTTCAAGTGCGTGCAAAATGTGCAATTTATATTGGAACCGTATTGGAACCGTATTAGATCAAAATAGGAACCTTATTGGAACCGTATTGGAGCTACGGATTACCGTTACCGATTACCGAGCTACGGATCAAATTAGGAACCGTATTGGAGCCGTATTGGAGCCGTATTGGAACCGTATTGGAACCGTATTGGAACCGTATTAGATCACAATTGGAACCGTATTGGAACCGTATTGGAGCTACGGATTACCGTTACCGATTACCGTATTGAAGCTACGGATTACCGTTACCGATTACCGAGCTACGGATCAAAATAGGAACCGTATTTTTCCGGTTCCTATTTTGATCCGTAGTGCACCCTGAGCGTCGCCTAAATTCCTCGAAATCTCGAGAACCGCTTATCAGAACCTATTGATGTGGGGTCGAAAAATGTAGCTGACGATGAGATCTTCTGGGGGGTTTGAGTGTTGAGCTTCTGCAAAAGCTTGGAAACCGTAAAATCGTCACCAACTCGGCTCCCCCTGCACTACTATTAGAGAAAATACGACATTTGGAAACTCCTGTATACCTTCGACTGCAAAGCTCCAAAAGAACAATACCACTTGCATAAACATCACATTTATACCAACTCTAAAACAATAAATAGATATTTTTATCAATAAAAAGAAGTGTCATTGACGTATATATTTGTCATTTATTTAATAATATTTTTAATAATGTAATATCCACAAAAATTGAAACCTCTTCCTCCAAATCGCTTCTAGAGAACACCTCTGGAGCCATATATTCCATAGTTCCAATGCGAGAATGCTCAATTTTTCCCCTTTCTTGAAATATTTTGCACGCCCCAAAATCGCCAACTTTACAAATAAAGTCATAATTGACGAAAATACTGAAAGATATTATCTTAACTGAAAAATATTATCTTAAAAAATGCTTAACTTTTCCGGTTTTATGTCACAATGAGCAATGCATTGTTCTTTCAAATAACATAAAGCCGTGAAGATTTCTTGTGCCCATTTGACGATTGTCAACACAGAATAGTTGATTTCAAAGTTTTTCATAACTGAAAAGAATAGCCTTTGCTCAAAGCATTCAACGCTCAAAGCATTCAACGCTCAAAGCATTATCTGAGAAAATCAACCATGTCGGAGTGATCCGTGTTCACAGAATTCCATAAAAATCGGATAGTGTTCCCCCTTGTAGAGAAAATCACTTGGTTGATCGAGATATTTGACGATATATTTGTGTGTCAACTCCTTCAAAATGAGCAACTCTTTCTGCTGAGCGTCGATGTCTTTCCCGCGAGCGACCTCTTTCATCACATAGGGTCTATGAAAATTAAGTCATTTGTCTTCAAGAGATGTTTTATAGTTGTTTTAGCTTTATGCTTATCCAGACTCTATTTAAGAAATGAAAACCAATAGAAGCAAGCCAATAAGGCATTCAATTTTGGAAAGCCAGCGAGACATTCAATTTTAGAAATCTTCGCAAAAGTTTCAAACGTTAACTCACGGATTATAGTCTTCGAGCAGCAAAACTCTTCCGAAACCACCTTCTCCAATTTGCACAACATTTTTCTCATCCATCAAAAGAAGCAAAAAATAAAACCTTTTATGGTTTTTCAACTATTAACAAAGCCAAATATAGTGATTTTTTTTGGAGAGAGGTGCCTTTCATTGCGCAACTTTAGTGCCACACCAAAGCATCCAATAGAATCACCAAAGCATCCAATTCATAAAGCTATCAAAGCTATAGAAACCAGAAAAGCATAGAATACTAAAGTCATCGTTGAAATCTCCTCAACATCTTCCATCCAAAAACTCTTTTAAATATTTTGTTTGAGTGGGATAAAATCGGGTCAAAAGGTTAGTAGGTTTTTCATTTAAAAAGTGAGATTCTAAAGGTGTTCCTAGTGTTCCTAGTTCCTAAAGATACGAGACGAATTCGTTTTCTAGAAACTTTAAATGATTTAAATAGACGAATTACAGAAAATAACAATCGTTTCGGAAAAATAACAAGCATTTCTAGAGTTTATGTCATATATCTATGCTTGGAACACGACCATCTCTCTGTTCGGGTGCCGGAGAAGGTTTGGGAACTTTCCAAACCCATAGTCTACGTGGGGGTATAGCTCAGTGGCAGAGCATTCGGCTGCAGTCCGAGAGGTCCATGGTTCAACTCCGTGTGCCCCCTAGCTCTTGTTTTGTTTTGCAAAACCTACAAAACACACGTAAATACAACTTTGATTAATTTTCAGCTCATCAAAAAAAAGGAGATCGTTGACGGGAAAATCGCTAAGGTTCGTGTGAAAAGCTAGAGGCTCTTATAGGTAAGAGTTACAACTCTCTAATCAAGTTTAAGGGAAAATAGACGGTTAATTCTTAATACGTGACCGTACTACGTGACTTGGGGGCCACTCCCAGCCACTGGGATTGAACCCGAGGCCTCTAGCACTTACTAGTTGTCACTAGTGGCTATTGATCTTTTTCCTTGAGACGAGAGATAAGCAAGAAAAAAACACTGCCCGAAGCAGTGCAATTACGCAGGGAAAAGAAAAACACTACATAATACTGTTTTTTTTAATTTTTACCCGTAAAACTATTAAAATTTTTGATGTCCTCCCTATTGACCATTCCAAATGAGCTTAAGAAACTGGTGCTCCCAAAAATCGATATGTCTTTATTGTTGACGTTGCTGAAAGTGAATCGCTCTTTGCGGCATTGGGTATTACGAAACGGTCCACTTGGACAAAAACTCGATAAAATTTACATTTATCTTTCTTCAAAGACTCGGCATTCACAAATTGCTTGGGTTCGCTGTGATTTCGCGCACTTTCGGTGGAATTTGAGAGAACTATTGAAGTATCATCACCTCTTGGAAAACATTATTTATTGTGCTGAATTGGACGTCTATGAAGAGAAAGAGGAATCTGAGAAGAAAACTTACAACATCAAGAGCATTCTCGAGATTTTCCCCAAACTAAAAGGCACTGGTTTCTTGGAGTTGAATCAAGTGAGGGTGGGGCCGGTGCGAAGGATTTTCCCGAAAGAATTCGATGTGCTTGCAAAGACTACACTCCGAATAAAAGTAGGAGATTTGATAGATGAACTGAATAACTTTTTTGAGATCGTAACAAAAAACTGTCCTAGTTTTCAGATTCGAAATGCTGAAAATTTTATGAGTAGCCTAGCTAGATCAAAGGCAAAATACCTTGAGATGGAGTCTTGGGCAGAAGAAAGCGAAGAGATTTTGAATTGGATTCTCGAGAATGGCTTTCCAAGTCAAAAAGCTGAATCACTTTGTTATTTGAAGAATTTGAATCTCAATCGTTTTCAAATTCAACGAGTGATTTCTCTATTCTCGGCCGAAATCAAACTCGAAACGTCCTCTGTGACCCACGCTGAGATTGTCGACTTCTTTTATGAAAACCAATCACAGAAAGAAGAGTCCCTCTATAGTGATCTCTTCACCAAAGTCGATTTATTTAAGAAAATGATCAATTCGAATGTCTACATCTTCTTCTTCCTAATGCTGAAGTCGCCTCGTTTCACCAACTGTACCCTCGATATTCTCATCAGGAAAGTGAGCTTGAACTCGTTGAATAACCGCTCTCGTATTCCTATTTGGTTAGACTCGTGATTTTATCAGATTGAAATGATAAATTGTTTATAAATAGAGTAGACAGTTTTGTTTTTATTTAATAAAACACTTTTAAATCTCTAACTATAGGGATCAAGACTAAGTTAAGCAACTAAACATTGTTCAGAATAATGTTCTAAACGATTTTCCATCTCAACAATGTTCTTCTCATGATTTTTCCAACAGAGAACTTTGAAAAGTTTTGTGTTTTTCTTGGAATCATTGCAAGTTTTCAATAATCTTTTTCTGGCCGATTAGCGATTTCCCAGACTTATGAAAGATTTCGATTTCATTGCTTTTAACCAGCAGGAAAGCCACCGTGAGACATTGAATCTTATCGTTTATCTGACTTTTTCGCTTTGCGATTGTTGCCATTGATTACTTATGGGTAAACGAACATCCAAACAGGAAATGCTGGTTAAAAAATAAATGGAGAAAACCTGATTAGTGTGAGCTGCTCGTTGATCACAAAAAATAATTTCTTGGAATAAAACTTGTTTTCCAGATGAAGTGTTGAAAAACTTCAAATACTCATTTTAAGCGTTTTTAAAGTTATTTTAGGGTAAACTTTTATTGAATTTTGTTGGAAAGTCTTTATTTGATGCAAAGAAAACAAAAAAATTATGAAATTATGAAATTTTGAAGTACATATTACAAAGATTTAGTTTATTTTTGGGAAAAAAAGTTTAAATTGAACAAAGTGTCCCATCTAAGCGTTGGAATTATTTTGAAAATAGGCTAAAATTCCCTCCATTCCGTGCGAGGCGATTGGATTAAAATATCTGGTGAAAAACGAGGCGCTCGACATAACATCGATCGTTTTCACGGTGCCCACGTGAGTGCCGCACCAGTTTACGAGGTTACGATTTGCCAGATAAACCGTAATGTCGAGTGTCTGCAAGACGATCTCGACATCTCGTGGCCCTCCATTTAGCCAACCCGGATCCTCCTTGAGTCTTGTCAAAACCGCATCCGCACCCGGACTATCAAACGCCACACAATGTAAGTCGTTTGCTTGATTCATATCAAGCATAGTGTCATTGCCAAAGGAGAACTTACCACGCGGGTCAACGGGAAAGAAAGCTGGATGTTTCCTTAACAACGTGCACAATTGAGCCAGCCATCCGCCAAGACTGTGCCCAGTGATTGTCACCGAGTAGTCGTTGCGTACGAAGCGTCGCGTCCCCTCGTCCAACTTGAGTGTGTTATTTAGTATTGATTGTAACGTGTGCCAATCGGCAGCCGCCACAATGCTTGACGTGATCAAGTTCAATGCGATTCGAATGTCTGCTTTGAGTTGTAAAAAATTGGTCAGTTGAGTTCCCCGATGCACGATCACCAGCCTCTTTGCGGGATGGTTGATGAAAGATGAGCACGTGAAGCCTAAAGTTTGATCATACTTGATCATGATCTTCATTTGATCATTTTTCTACCTTTTCAATACTTTTCTACAAAAAAACAAATGATATTACCTTTGTTTTTCGTTCTAGTGCACAGCTCCCAGTTTCTCTCGTCCAGATACTCGACCATGTCCTTCACTTTGATCGTTGCTTTTCGACTCTCAGGAATCTTGTGCAGGCAATCATGACTCATTTCGATCGAGTATTCAAGATTAACCATGTACGCGAGTTCGAGTGTACTAGGATGGGAACCAGAATCGGACACGGTTTGCGCTCGTCGAACTCTCGCATAAAGCTCGTTGCACCGTTGACATGACCTTTGAGGGAACCAAGCAAACGGAGTCAAACCTCTGAATTCACTTTTAACCAATAACTAATCAAAACTTTACATAGCATTTGACAAGTTCATGCAAATATAGTTTTTGACTTATTTTTTTAAAAGTAAAACAGTCCAACCTCAAGGAAAAGCGTATACAAAGACGAATTCTTATCGAATCTGCAAAAGAACGATCCATGAAAGCTAATTGAAACGGGGAAAGGCATGATTATGCTGATAACAAAAAGTTTATCACCAAATTTAACAAGACAAAAATAAAAAAATAGGGAACAATTTCTCATGCCGCTCGCAAAGAAATCAATGCTTTTGTCAAGGGTTGAGGGCGACTTTTCTTCAACAAAAAATCTATTTGAATGCAGGCTTCGGGAAGTTTTTTGGAAGCACTACGCTAGAAAAGAAATTTAACGCTTAAGGGATTCAGAATCGTTAAGGTGTAGCAAAAAAACTCAGCTTCCGATCTCTACATAGACGACTTATGGCTCGAATGTTTAAATGAAGAAAACAAATAAGGTAATGGAATCATAAAGCATAGGACACTTATCTACGTCACTTAATGCTTGTTTCTTATTCAGTTTTCTTCAGTATTATATGGTTTTGTGGAATGAAAAACTAGCCCATGTTGGTGATCCTGGAAGGGATCACGGGTAATGGGCTTTCCAAACTTTTGAGATGCCTTTCTTCATCAAAAAAAAAGCTTGAATCGATACTTAAATAAATATAAGACTAAATTTATATAATATAATACACGTATACATAATTGTTTTCCTTGAAGATCTTCACTAAATTAGACAATTTGTCAATTCAACGAAGATCTTTAATGATAACGATTTTTTTGAGGTATGAGTGCTTTTTGAAAAACTTTATCCGAAATTAAAAGAAATAAAAGCTATAAAAGTTGATAAAAGCTAAATGTTCAACGATTCGGTCGGCTATTTCAACTCTAAATTCATTTTTTAAAGCCATTCGATCATTTTCTTACTGGTTTCTTTCGGTGAGACGATGCCGAGAAGACGCTCCTCTCGCTTAGCTTTCTCTTCGGCTTGAGGTGAAGCTCCTTGAATTTTGCTGTATTGCTCTTTTTTTGACCAAAACTTAGTCTAGTACATAAACAAATTACTTTAGTAACTTTAATAAAGTATTTCAATAAGGTTAATGAATATCGGCGCCAGAATTTTTCGCCAATAAGTTGATGTTAACTTGTTATTCATTT